CTACCCTATAGGACAGAGTAGAATTGCCCCATAGGGTTTCCAAGAAGCAGCTGGTAGATTCAAACTGCTGACCTTTTGGTTAGCAGCCGTAGCTCTTAACCACTGCGCCACCAGGGCTCCATAAGCCTAACAGGTCAGTCCAAATCAACTGATTTTCTCCAAAGATACCAATGTATTCATTCACTACCTCACCTTCCCCCCAGATTCCTCTCCTGATCAACTTGGTATTTGAAAATTCATTTGGTGATTTTCTTTTTAAATAAAGTAATTCATGTTTATGCTAAATAAACTAGAGAAAATGGCCACTGATGTTTTCAGGCACTGAATAAGGATACAGAAAATTACAGCTAAACCTGCAAGCAAATCAGATAATTAGTTTGGGAAAGACATCATGAAAGACACTGAAACAAAGAAAAACACAGCAAATAGTAGTGGTGAGAATATTGAGGGCTACCAAACTGATTAAATGCCCCATCAAGGTAAATGAGAAAGGTGTTTTCAGTTATCATTCATCTGCTGAAAGGGTTAACATATCATATTTGTTACAGAAAGCTTAATTCAATGCATCACAGCCTAAGCATCAACTTACATTAAATGGAGGACAAAGAGCCCCAAAAAGGAGGAATTGAGAAAGATGAAAAATCTGTCATTGCTTTGCCAAGACTGTTTGATCCACCTATTCAAGTGTTTATTGAAACCAAAATGGGAGGCGCAGAAGCAGCTCCAAAGTCAAACACGCCTCTTTCTTCATCCAGCTCTTTCCTCATCTAACAGCAGCACCCACAAGAAAGCACTGTTATCTTACTCAAGACAAAATTCAATTCAGAGTCTTAGAGAAGGCCCTCACCAAATATTAACCTGGAGGGTTTCGTGAGCACAGTACTGGGCATATCGTAGGCATTCATTAAATGCTTTATTGAATGAATGAATGAATAAATGACAATTTCACTCCACTGCTGCCATTGTGGATATGTGACATTAGAGGCAGCCATGGGCATGGGAGAGTAATGCCAGGGAAACAAGAAACTCCCCTCCCTCCGAATAGTCCTCTTATCTGCTTCAGATTCTAAAAACTAGTTGCCGTGGAGTTGATTCCAACTCATGGCAACCCCATGTGTGTCAGAGTAGAACTGTGTCAGAGTAAAATTCCATAGGGTTTTTCAATAGCTGATTATTTTGGAAGTAGATCACCACACCTTTATTCTGATTTACTAGCCACTCTCTAATAGGGACTTGATTTTTAAAGGACTGATGCTCTCCCTGGAAGCCCTGGTGGCGTAGTGGTTAAGAGCTATGGCTGCTAACCAAAAGGTCAGCAGTTTGAATCCACCAGGCGATCCTTGGAAACCTTATGGGGCAGTTCTACTCTGTCCTGTAGGGTAGCTATGAGTTGGAATCGACCAGACGACAACGGGTTTTTGGCGATGCCCTCCTCAGAGGTTTTACGAGGGGAGTGAGAGACACTGACTCAAAAAAGGATCTACCAAGAATTATGGGGAAATGAAGGGTGTAATAGGCACAATACTGGCCCCCCAAAGATGTCCACATTAATCTACTGAACGTGTGACTATGTTATGCTACATGGATAGGGAGAATTAAGGCTGCTAATCATCTGATCTTGAGATAGGAAGATCATCTTAGATATTCGGGTGGGCCCAATGTAATCACAAGGGTCCTTTAAAGTGGAAGAAGGAGGCAGAAGAGGTCAGACTGATGCAAATGTGAGGACTTGACTTGTTGTTGCTGGCTTTGAAGACGAAGCAAGGGGGTGGTCATCAGCCAGAGAATGGGAGCAGCTTCTAGAAGCTGGAAAAGGCAAGGAAACAGAGTCTCCCTTAGAGCCTCCAGAAAGGAATGCAGCCCTGCTGGCACCTTGATTTCAGCCCAGTGAGACACAACTGAAGGAGCCCTGGTGGTGCAGTGGCTAAAGTGCTTGGCTCCTAACCGTAAGGTTGGCAGTTTGAATCCACCAGCCGCTCTGTGGGAGAAAGATGTGGCAGTTTGCTTCTGTAAAGATTTACAGCCTTGGAAACACTATGCCGCAGTTCTACTCTGTCCTATAGGGTCACTATGAGTCGGAACTGACTTGACAGCAGTGGGTGGGAGACCCATTTTGGACTTCTGACCTTCAGAATTATAATAAATTTGTGTAGTTTTAAGCCACCAAGTATGTGGTAAATTGGTACAGCAGCCATAGGAAACAGAGAGTGAGCAAAGAGGAGGGAAGGAGGACTTGATAGACTGGCTTTTGTCATTACTAGCCATGCGAACTTGGGAGGTTATTTCATTTCTTTGAAGCTTCATTTTCTCATCACTATAAAAAAAATAACCAGTTACCCTCATGTTGATTCCAGTTCATAGCAACCCCACGTGTGTGAGAGCAGAACTGGGCTCCGTAGGGTTTCCAATGGCTGATTTTTTGGAAGTAGACTGCCAGGTCTTTCTTCTGTGGTGCCACTGAGTGGACTTGAAACTCCAACCTTTTGGTTAGCAGCTGAACATGTTAAGCACTTGAACCACCTAGCGACTCTTCTCATCCCTATAGCGCGTTAAAGCTAGCTGTCTCATAAAACAGCTGTTGATATTAAATGAGATGACACATTTGAATCAGCCAGCCCTGGCCAGGTTCATCAGTGCTATCTTACTTTCATTCTCACCTTTTTCCCTCTTCTGGGTGCCAGCATATGGTGTATGGCTCACAAAAGAAGAGAAAAAGGGAGGGGGAAAAAAGTGAATAAGAGGGTAAAGAAGGTAAAGGGTCAAGCCCGAGGGGTCTAGGATGGGGAATCTACATCACCCATTACTGCTCAGGGCAGTGGGTAACAAAACTGTGGTCTATCTAAGCTTTCATACCATGAGGGTTTGAACGGGCTCTATCTTTTGCTTCTCAGAGTAGAAAGAAAAGAAAGGCAGTGGAGTGTGGGAAAACAGGAGAAGGTTCGGGTGGAGCAGGACAGGTAGGGAAGGGAAAGAAAAAGAAAGTAGGGCGGGACGGGAGCTGGAAGAAAATATAGGGGGGATTGAGTTGGTTTCTCTGCTATGGAACTTCACCTCTACTCAGACATGAGGAAAACTTAAAAACCTATTGGTTGTTCCTCTTTATTTTCTGTCTCTGCTCCCACACCATCCTTCCTTTCACTTTAAGCAGTATGTTAGATCATATTCATACACAAATATACATGAATTTATGGAAGGTGGATTGCAAGTACTGGAGGGGCAAGGGAAGAGGGGTGCATGCATTTATATTAAATTCCAAAGGTGAAGGTGGGCTTTTTAAAAGCATTGGAGAAAGTTTTCTTGGAAAATGGTAATTGAAAACTACTTAAATGCTATTAAATCTCTAGATCTTCATTATTCCTTTTGCTGAGGTCATATGATTAGCATAAGAAGAAAAAAAAAGGTCAAATACAATGTAGGTAAGATTTCTGCCATAAATGACAATGTTATAACGTCCTATAAAATGATACTCAAGTACTGCAAGTATATAAATAGTGAAAAATGGAAACTTCTAAACTTGAACGACAACTTATTCCCCTTCAGGCTTTGCAGCCCATGTAGACTTCTTGACTACAGAGCTATAAATGCTAGTAGGATAATTTCAGGCAAGAACATCCAAACTGTAATAAAAAATCATTGCTAGGGTTTGGATGTACATTGTGTTCAAAGACTTTTATTAAATTTTGTGATATTGTACGACTTTGAATAGGTCATTTTGTGGTTAGGATAAATCTATTTTGTTAAGACATTAAATTCTAAGAAATAGATTTTGAACCAATTTTTTTTTTTCAGATAATTATGAGAAAGGCACAAGAAGAAACCTCATCAACTTTCTTTTCAGGAATATGTATAAATATTAAAGTGAATTGCCCGTGTAATACGTCTAACTTCAAATGGTATCAACAAGATTATTTCCCTGTCGTCTTTTCCAAGCCAACTTAAATTGTATCAAATGTAATTTACTGAGATTTTTCAAAGCTTTTAAAAGGGAAAAGGAAAGTCTTCTGGAATGACCATGACATGTTTAAGTAAATATTTTCCCCCAAAGGTTCACAGGATAATTTAACTTGAGAAGATATGGGTAAACACATAGACATGCTACAGTATTTTAGGAAATAATTTACCATTTCCTCTGATATTGGAAAGACCTTTAAAATATACAAAATCTGCTCTGGTTTCCCACAAAACCACGTTTCTAACCAATTGTGATGGATACTCAACAGTGCTGAAAAGTCAGTTCGTATGTAGGAGCAGAAATCTCAGGAAAAAATGGACAACGCACTGCTTCTTTTTACCTTCTACATTTTGCTCCATTGCCCCCAAATGACTTCACAATTAAATTTACAGATCAAAAGACTTTTTCTACAAATACTCACAAACTTCCTTTGGAATATGTAGAGATTTTCAGGAAAGCCAACACTCACTTAGTGTAAAGAGCCTTAAGTTTGAACTGGTAGAGCAATCAGCATCTAACCCTGAAAAACAGCTCAACTAGCTATTCTTTGCAGGTACTCATCCTTCTCTCTCAAAGAACTCTGTTGGCAGCAGTCAAAACCAAAGAGGGAACTTAATAAACATGAAAATTGTGGTAGAAAAATATACTTGCAAGGTTAATTTGACATATTGCAAAAATTCAGGAGGCTATAATAGTTTCTGTAGAACCACAGTTCTGATTTCAAAAAACCCCCGAGAAACAGCTGCATTTTGATATACAACCTGCTTTATCTACACAGGAAACCCTAGATTTTCAGAGTGGATCAGTCTTGAGATGCTAGAATTTGAACAAAACACTGGGGAAAATTGGATGCACATACTGTTGAGAAATAACGGGACAATAAAACGTGCAGAAGTTTGCACTTACATGTTAGGCAAATACATATTTGTTCCAAAGATGACACTGTTAATTTCTTTTGCTATAAAGTGGCAAAGGATGAAACGTAAAATCAATTCTGCTGTCTTATTTAGGAAATAGTTGTGCTCACGCCACTGGATTCTTTGATTACCTGTGAATATCTCCATCTCTGGCATTTTGTACCAACTGGCTGAGGCAAATCTGGCAAAATGTTTTCCAGTTGCCTGAAGATTAACTCCTTCACGTCCTCAGTGCTGTGTTCCAAGTATGTCACTCCAAATGGGACAGTCGTGTGAATCACTAGGCAAGGCCCGACGTCTGGCGACTCTAGTGGAAAAGGAACATAAAAAAAATCTTAATGGGTAACTTGAAAGCATCTTCTAGCATTTCAACCCAGATTTAAGGACTGATCACAATAATCTGGCAATAAATGAAGAAAAAACTTTATATTCTAGTCTCTGAACATAAAATTAGGCTATTTTTGAAATTCACACTCAAGCTTCTTTTAAGAAGACGACAGATTCAAGACATATTTAGAGAACAAATTGTCAGGTCTTAATAAAGAACTGGAAGGAGGGTAAGAAGACCACTTAATATGTATTGCCTTGGGTATAAGTTAATTTTTTGGTATGTTCGTCTTCTCTCACGCACTAAATTGCAAGCTTTTCAGGGCAGCATCCATTTCTTGTACATAGTCTATATTCTCTTTAAATTTCTGAGAATAAAACATGTTCAATAAATACTTGTTGTCTTGTTCATTTTATGCTGAATGGGTTGCAAAATACTTTGTTGAAATTACCTTGATGCTGGAATAAATTATTTTTTTGAAAACTTAGCTTCTCTCTAAAAACAGGCTTGTCTTCATAATATTCTTTCTTATATTTTAAGCAGAATTAAAAATTAAAAGTCGGCCTCATTCATAACTTGGAGCTATTTTGAGCTAAATTTTATTTACCATTGAATTTTTTTTTTTTTTGCTCTATTTTCATAATTACAAATAATGACTGCCCGCTTTGTAACCTTCACCCTTTAGTGGAATGTAAGGAAATCAAATAAAGTTTGAAGTTGAAAGCAAAGTGACTGAGACATTGGAAAACAGAATCTTGGAAAGAATGTTAACAAGAGTTTGCCTATTATTATTATTTGTTTAGATCATGCAGAAGTTTAAAGTTGAGAGGAAAACAACAGTTGTTCTGAAATGCACGAAGTATAATACGAAAGTTGGTGCTCTTCCCTGCTGAAAGAGGAGAATACTAAAGTTGTGTAAGGCACCAAGAGGAGTTTACGAGCCTAATTTTGAAAATTCTTTAATTTGGGATTATAAAGACTGAGACAGTGATCTATTTGAGGCAGGTCTGTACAGTTTTAGAAGTCCCTAGATGGCACAAACTGACTACTAACCAAAAGACTGTGGTTCCAACCCATCCAGAGGCACCTCAGAAGAAAGGCCTCGCAATCTGCTTCTGAAAGTTCCCAGCCTTGAAAACCCTATGGAGCACAGTTCTACTCTGCAACACATAGGGTTTCCCTGAGTCAGACTTGACACAATGGTGATTTTTTTTTTTGTACAGTTTTACACATAAAAAAAGGGTTGAATGACACATACTTGTTATGTGTCTACTTAACCTCTTTATATTTCAATTTTCTTTTTTTTTTTGGATAAAATGAGAATTAGTACCCACCATATAGGTCTGTGGTGTGGATTAAATAACAACATGCATGAAGTACGCAGCACAGTTTCTGGCACAGAGCAGGTGCTTAATAAATGTTAGCTGTGGGAATGGTGGCAATAAAACAGATACGCCAAGGGAAAAGACCCCCTGGAGGTGCCCAAATTATACTTGAGTTTCTTTTTTTTTTTTTTTTCTGTAAAAGTACTTCATCTTTCTATTGCTCTTGGCTCAGGGAACCCTGGCTAATGAATTTTACAGCAAAATACAAGAGATGAAAGTTCCAAAATGCTGTAAGCATTTGAAAATAAAGTAAGTGCTTCCAAAGGGTTTCACCTGTATGAGGTAGGAGGTTGGACTTCAGAATCTGTGCAGTAAATGAAATGGTGAGCCAGCTTGTCTACCGTTTCCATCTCACAGAGGCTGGGACAATGTGAAAGAGAAAACAGAGGGACTGTCTCTTTGAACCTTCAACGTTTAACCTTTCAGTGGAGACTTACAGGTAGCACGAAGGAGTACAAAATCTCAAGTTCTTTCACCGAAAACCAACACAGTGAGAAACTTGTTGCATATTGCCTCAGGAGGTGTTATTTGTTATCAGTTAATAAATTCAAGGAGGCTTGTTGCCAGCAAGAATGTCAATACCACCCCTCTTTCATGCGGTACCAAATCTTCCCGGAGACAGAGAAAGTTACTGGGTCAGCATGCTGAAGCAGGAGACTTTGGGCTCTGAGTTGACTTATCTATGGCAAGCTTCAAAGAAAAATGAATGCTAGCTGCATGCTGAGAATAATCAGGAGGTTGCACTGACCCAGCCATTTGTTCTAGGGGGAACTCGTAAAGTCCCTCAGGCCAGTGATGGTGCATTGCCAGGTTTCTACCGTTTACATTAGCCATCCACGCCAAGGAGAGCAATAAAAAGTGAAATTTAGGATCCAAAATGAAACAGTTCTTGCATAACAATGAGAAATGAGAGAACAACCTGGCTACTTGTTTTTACCGGAATCTGACAAAAATTTTTGAGAATTTAGATTAAAATTTGAATAGCTATAACCTGAAACAAAGGGCTTTGGGGAGAACCCCCCTCATCCCCAAGTTAAAGGGTATTTTTAGAAACTAAAGTTCAAAAACACAAACAGCGAGCCAGAGTTTAAACATGACCAAAGTTTGGAAAGGGAATATTATAAAAAGCCACAAACATGTTACTAGGATTTAGAACATGAATTTAGTATAATCATTATTCCTTGGTCACTGAGAACGTAATGATGCTATCTTTCTTCTTTATTATTTTTTTCTTTTTTCAGTTTAACAAGCGTAGCTCTTTCCTTTTGGCATTTTAAATGTAAAGTTCATAGTAAGTTGACAACTATTTCTGTATTTTGGGAGATCAATGGCTTTAGAGTCAGAAGATGAGTATTTGAGCCCCTGAATCCCCCCTTAATAGTCCGTGGTCTTGATCAACTTAATCTCTCAGGCTTTACTTTCTTCTATCAACTAAAAGGGAATAATACTATTTACCTTATAGGGCTGTTACAAGGATTAAACAGGTCAGAACGCATGAAAGCCTTTCTTAAAATATAAAGCACTACATAAATGAGAGGCATTCCTACATAATATTCTTGTTTTGACCTCTCCACGGCAGAAAGAGCAGCTTTAGAAACGGATTGCAGAATTGCCTTCTCTTGAAGCTTTAAAGTCTGATTATTAGACCAACATTCTAGGAATAGTGGCAGACTATTCCTGGCCATAGGCAGAGCAAGCTTTTAGTCTACAATTATGGGTGGAGATCAGGACATTGAAAGTTGATAATAACAGCAGCAGCAGCCCCAACAGTAGCGGTAGCATTATTACCTACTGTTAATACAGCACCTAATCCACAGAAGGCTCTCGCAGTAAACACTTAAAATCAAAAGCTACAGAAGTCACCTATTCCCCAAACAGAAATTGAAATTTGTTTTGAAATAAGTGTTCTAGCTATCTCAGATTCATGGTCATATGAGATGCAATAGTACATATTAACAGGTTAAAATTTGCTTAGTTAAAGACAAAGATTCTCATATTGGGTCAAAAAAATAACACCCAACTATAAAAACATTTTTAAAACCAATTCTAAATTGTGTTGAGTCACAGAGGGTGATCTGTATGATACCTCAAGATATACTGAATGGCCTCATACATAGTTTTCACAAGTGTTACATGTGTCCTTGAACAGAATTTTCTAGATGTTATACATTAAGTTCATTAGAACAAGCTTATTAATTGTGTGGTTATGTTACTAAATTATTTTTTTCCTGCTAAAATCAATTACTGAGAAATGTTCAAAATCTCTCCTTATAATGGCAAATTTGCCTATTTCTCTATTTAGTTCTGGTAATTTCTGCTTTGTATAGAAGCGATGTTACTAGCTTCCTGATACTTGAACTTTTTACAGTACTTTTCCCTGATACTTGTGAACTTCTTTACATTTAGAAATGCTTTTTACCTTAAAGTTTATTTTCTGTTTTCTACTTGTCCTACTTTTTGTTTCTTTTTTTTAATTTTTAAATTTTGCCTTCTTTCTGATCAAATCATTTTTACCCCTCTACTAGTTTGGAAGTTATACAGTTTATTTCTATTTTTAAGGGATACCCACACATTTAAGCAGCCACACTAAATTTAAAATCAAAAGTTAACCAGTATTTTTATCTTTCCCCCGAATAATACAGGGAACTTAGACTACTTTAACTCTGATTTTATATACTTTTATTGCCCAGGATTATTTTACTTCTTTTGTTTTGTTTCATACAGTCAATGTTTGTTTACGTTTATCCACCGCTTCCTTCTTGGAGTTCAGATCTTCCCTCTAGGGACATTTTCTTTTTCAAAAATATCTTCTTTTGAAGTTTCTTAATGAGGTCTGTTGGAGTTAAACTCTTACTTAATTTTTGTTTTTCTAAAAATGTTTTTATTTTACTCTTATTTGTGAAGGATATTTTTCTTTGATATATAATAATAGATTGAAAATATTTTCTCCCACCACTTTGATAAAATTTCAATGTGAGTTAGCTTCTATTAATGATATTCAGAAGTTAACTCAATTTGATTGCAGATCTTTTGCAGGTAAATTTTCTTTTATATCTGGCTGCATTTACAACTTTGTCTTTGGGATTCTACAGTTTCTTGCTGGATATCTTGAGGCTTAAGTTTCTTTTTGTCTACCTTCTTTGACTTCATTGAGTTTTCCTGAATCTGAACATTCATTTTTTAATCATTAATTCTGGAAATTACTCAGTCATTAGTTCTCCCAATATTTCATTCTCCCCATTCTCTTTTCTTATGGAACTCTAATTGGAGATATGTTAGATACTGTCATTTCATCTTCATCTCTTTAATATTTTCTATCTCTTTGTCTGTGGTAAATTCTATGTAATTTCTTCTGATTTATCTTGCAGTTCACCATTCTCTCTACATCTGTGTTTATTTGATATTTAATTTGTCCTTTGAATTTCAAATTTAAACTATTTTTCATTTGTAAATGTTCTATTTGGCTCTTTTTCAGATCTACACAATCAATGTTGATAGTTTCTTTCTCCCTAGCCATACCATCACTACTCTTTGTTTCTTTAAATAGATTCAACATAATTATTTTACACTGTGTGTCTGATCATTCCAAAATCT